TTGGGACTTACTAAATGGGGGAGAAGGTCAGTCAATGGACACAACTTCAGAACGTGAGGACTCTGACATGTTCAGAGGTTTCTGGCTACACATAAAAGAGTTTGTTTAGAACAGGGGTGTCAAACCCGCGGCATCGTCATGTGATGTATCACTTTCCCCCCGTCGCTAAACGGGCTGGGCATGGCCAGCACATGACTCATCCAGCCTGCAGGCCGTAAGTTTGACGCCCCTGGATCGGAAAATGACTTAAAAGAAAGGCATTTGAAGGTACATGTAGTAATAGTACTTAGACTTGTCTACTGCTTCACAGTGCTTTACAGCCCTCTCTAAGCGGTTTACCTCCAACAATCTGGGTCCTCATTTTCCTGACCTTGGAAGGATGAAAGGCTGAGTCAACCTTGAGCCAGTCAGGATCAAACTTCTGACTGTGGGCAGAGTTAACCTGCAATACTGCATTCTAACCACTGCAACACCACAGCTCCTGTAGATTCCAAAATTCTTTGCTTGTGGTTCCCTTTCTCACTCCAAAAACTGCAACTTATTCCAAAACATGCAGCATATTATCACCTTAAATGGGACATGAAGGAGAAATATAAAATCTTATGAAGTGTTTAATTTGTCTTACATAAAAGTACAGTTAATTAATTGCATTTAATTAAAACTGACAGATCTCCAAAAAGCCAAAATAGAGCTCTTTGTCTGAAAAGTTGGATACTTGCGATTTAAATGAATCTCTTCACCGTCTCCACCCCACTCCAGAATGCCTGCATCTCTCTCATCCTCTTGTTAATGGGTAGCTGATTGTGTATCAAGCTTTAATTTTAATCCAATACTGATTGAAATAAATCGTTTACAGCATAAAATATTGTGGTTGCCATCACCCTGTGAATTAATCCAGTTACCTTTTGTTGTTTTCATTTCAGGAATGGGTCAGCAAGGTGAAGCCGCTTTTGCCCCATCACTCAGTCCTAGTAGTCCTTTGATGTCCCCTCAGATCCCTCCGTCTCAGAGCCCCATGCTGCAGTCTGCCCCACCCACACCTGGGTATCAGTCACCGGATATGAAGACCTGGCAGCAAGGAACTATGGGGACCAACAAGTAAGCACGATTCTCAAATACGGATGCTCCCTAGTTTAACCTCTAAATACCAACTGTTAGCAAAGCTTTTTGATATATATTTTTGCCATACACCCCAACCTGGTCAATAGTTAGACAACTTAGAGTTTGCAATGAGGATGATGAAATTGATGATTCATGCTCCATTCCTCAGAGCACACGGTTGACATTCCTTGAAACCTGTAATCAACTATACTTCGATCCACTTTATTATTGGTTTCCTGCCATTCCTCCAAATATTTTTAGGCTGGGCCAGTCAGATTACTGTTATTAACATTTCTAAATGGCGTTACGTAATTCACAAATGATTTTCCTTTCTCCTTCCCCCCCCCCTTTCTTCTTTTTAAATTATTATTATTAATTCAAGGTAGGAAAACAATTTATCATTTCAGATAGATTGTAGCAAGTCTATTTTGGTTGGACCAACTAGTTTTGCTTTTTTGAACTCGTACAAAGAGAATGAGAATAATATGTGAGTGGAATTTGTCTGCTGTACAACTTAACATGATTCTGAAATTGAAGTGGTTTTGAATGAAGCCCATCCCAGTATGTAATTCCTGTGCCTCATTCTTTCAAATGCAGTGTATATGGCCAGGCTGGGCAGACTCAGCCCCCCTCAGCTCAGCAGGGAATGTACAACAACATGAGCATCACAGTCTCCATGGCCGGAGGAAATGCCAGTGCCCAGAATATGAACCCAATGGCTGGGCAAATGCCAATGAACTCATTGCAGATGTCTGGCATGAACCAGCTATGCTCTGAGCAGGTCAGTGTATCCAGATGTGTCTCCCTTCCTCTCCTGTGGACTTTGCCAAAGTCTCAAAATATTAATCCTTAATAAGATAACCCACTTTGAATACTGCATCCAGTTTTTATCACCATATTATTAAAAAGATGTAGAAACTCTGGAAAGAGTGCAGAAAAGAGCAACAAAGATGATTAGGAAGCTGGAGGCCAAAACATATGAAGAACAATTGCAGGAATTGGGTTTGTCTAATCTAGTGAAAAGAAGGACTAGTGATGACAAGATAGCAGTGTTCCAGTATTTGGGGGGGGGGGGCTGCCACAAGGAACAGGGGGTCATCCTATTTTCCAAAGCACCAGAAGACAAGACAAAAGGCAATGGATGGAAACGAATCAAGAGAGAAATGACTTAGAACTGAAGAGAAACTTCCTAACAGTGAGAACAATTAAATAGTGGAATAGCTTGCCTTCAGAAGTTGTGGTTATTCCATCACTGATGCTTTTAAGAAATATCTGGACAGCCACTTGTCTGAAATGGTATAAGGTCTCTTGCTTGAATAGGGGGTTGGACTAGAGCACTTCCCAAGTCCTTTCCAACTCTGTTATTCCATTATTGACATTTATATATTTATAAGAAGAGTCATTTTTCCTCCTCCACCAACAGGGAGAAAACTTCTGGGAGACTTGAAATAAGTAGAAAGCCAGAAGAAAGGCTAAACGCTCTTCTCTATTGGGGCGACAAGATGTCCCATTTTGGCACATTCTGCTTTTTAGCCTTGGAAATCTGACCCTTGATAACTCCTACTCCTTTCTGTAAAGTTTTTAGATGTTCAAGATAGCAGATCCCGTTCTGCTGAAGAATTTAGTAGATTTCAAGATATATGACATGATTGTTACATGTTCTAAGGTTTTGCAGCTTTCGCCACGTAGCATATCTCAAATCTAAGCTGAGGGTAATAACATTTTTAGTTTATGCATTAGGAATTCAAAAAATTAGGTTTTTGTCAGGTTTGTAAAGCAAATGTAGAATCTGCCCAGCAGATTTACACAGTGTGTACTCCTCTTCCACACTCAGCACAGGCCTATAAACAGCAAGGGAGAAAGCTTAATGTTTAACCCCCATTGAGTTGTTTAACTGCCCAGAATTACTTCAAGAGTGACATGGATGGCATATAAATTTAATTTTAAAAAATATATAAATGAGCCAAAATGCTTTTGAAGACAAAGAACTTCTGCCTTGGACAGGGAGTTGGACTAGAAGACATTTAAGGATCATCTCCAGCCCTCTGATTCTATTATTCTAAAAACCTCCATTGCTGTATTTTGACAGTTTTTCTAAGCTGCTTAGAGTTGGCCAGTTTAATGGGGCATAAAATAACGATAATAAATATGTGAGTAAGTTCAGAGCTAAGATGCTGATTGTATTTAAAATAGGAACCATTCAGAACAAGCCCAATCAAGGAATACTGTTTTTGTTCAGTTATCAAGAACTGCCCTAACTTGCCTTTTCTGTCCAGATACCAAATGCAAAGCTTTTCCTCAAGCCAGGGAAGACAGATGTTTATCGTGAATTGGTCATCTGAGATGATGCCTGCAGCTCCCTTTCATTTTGACTTTTCATTGATCTCCCTTTTCCTGTGCCAAGACTATTCAACCATTTTCTAATTTCTCATCTTGTGCTGATGACTTCTTGTCTTGTTGATCTTGCTTTCAGGTAAACGACCCAGCTCTCAGACCCACCGGCCTTTATTGCAACCAACTTTCCTCCGATCTTTTGAAAACAGAAGCAGATGGAGCACAGGTCAGTAAAATATTCCTAAGGCAGAACTCTGTTGGGAAAATTTAAAATGGTTTCCTTGCACTGCCTCTGAGAATATTCTCAGAGAGGCAGGAGGATTCTGCAACAGAGCCAATTCAGTTCCAGAAAAACTTCCCAAAGGCTGCCTGGCTTGGAACTGCATTGATTGAAAGTGGGCATCTTTTACACACCCTGGGATTGGCATTGGGACACACTGACACACAGTTTGTTTATTTTCACGTAATGTTGAGCTGCTCTATGTACAAAAAGGGGCATACAGATTTTATTTATAATATTTTTTTTAATGAGCCATAGTGGTGCAGTGGTTAGAATACAGTATTGCCAGCTACCTCTGCATTCCACTACCAGGAGTTCAATCCTGACTAGCTCAAGGTTGACTCAGCCTTCCATCCTTCTGAGGTTGGTAAAATGAGAGCCCAGATTGTTGGGAGCAATATGCTGACTCTTTAAATCGCTTAGAGAGTACTGTAAAGCACTATAAAGTCCAAGTGCTATGGCTATTTTCTGTAATCAGTGAATTTCTCTTTCCTGTTTTGTGAAATCAGACATGCCCTTTCTAAATCTCAAGGATCAGTGTGCTGTAAATTTGGCTTATGTATGTATCAGGTCACAAGAATTGTTCCTAGTAGAACGTGGGATATCAGAAAACCTATAAGTAACAAAAGCTAAAACTGAATCTGTACTCGTGAGTCAGGCAGACCACCAGTTCCTATAAGGTCACTAGAATCAATTGTTCTTATCAGTAATAGCAAAAGCAATAAATGAAGAAAACTGAAGAGCTAGAAGAACAATGCCAGTTGAAATTTTCCTTTATAACATTCTTAACATTTGAGTTTTTAAACTTTCATCCTGAACCCAAAATACAATTAACACTTAAGTCAGCCTATTCAAGGAGAGCATATCTATGAGAAATATATTGAAAAAATCACAGCAATCATAATCAGAACAACAGGTAGCATCTTCAGGTTGTAAATTGTTCCTTAATGCAGGAGAGAAACACATCCCAATTTACAAGGTCAATCTGTTGACCAACAGTAAGTTCAATTTTGCCAATATTTGAATTTCTGTTTATTAACCTTCATTTAGTCTATTATGAATCCCAAATTAACATTTCAGCACTTCCATGACATCACCTACGTTTGATGAAAAGGAAAACAAGAACTTCATTTTATGTCCCCAAACACTTTCTTCCTCTGCTTTCTTCCAGCATTAGAACAGAGAAAACAGTTTGTTTTACAACAACCAAACTGATATGAACCTAAAAAATCTAACTGCTGCTTCATTTAAAAAAAAGAGCCAAAATGTCAGATATAAAATGGAATGAAAATTATCAGAGCTTTGAATGCTAATTTATTAGAAATCATATTCTAATTTAAATTGACTATGTTAAATCCAATTTTTATAGAATATAGAATAACAGAGTTGGAAGGGACCTTGGAGATCTTCTAGTCTAGGCAGGAAACCCTACACCACTTCAGACAAATGGTTATCCAACATCTTCTTTAAAACTTCCAGTGTTGCAGCATTCATAACTTCTGGGGGAAGTTGTTCCACTGATTAATTGTTCTAACTGTCAGGAAATTTTTTCTTAGTTCTAAGTAGCTTCTCTCCTTGATTTGTTTCCACACATTGCTTCTTGTCCTACCACTACTTGCTTTGGANATGGTGTAGGGTTTCCTGCCTAAGCAGGGGGTTGGACTAGAAGACCTCCAAGGTCCCTTCCAACTCTCTTATTCTATTCTATTGCCACATCGAGGCTGAATAGAGCTGTGGGAAAGGAAGTGGGAAATAGAGATAGCTGGGGAAATATGTAGCCAAAATAACATTTTTCTCTTGGGAGCCAAGCACACTCTCACCAGCACCTGGTGGGGTGTGAATGGGAGTCATTGGGTCTGGGACTGTGATCTGATTGGGGCATGTGATGTGTGTGTGTACGGGGGTGGGGGGGAAGAACTTTGGATTTTGAATTGGGTGGGGGAAAACCTGGGGAGCTTCAGAATCGTGTTTTCACCAGCTGTGCCAATATGACATGCCTAATAAATCTATACTTTGAGGAACTCTCTGGCCTTGGAGTTTTGATTTTGACACCTGGCCTTTCTTTTAGCATATAAGCAACTAACCAACTTTTCTAGCATTTATTCCTATCTCTGGCATCTTTAAATCTGATATCTCTATTTTTTTTAATGTAATTTTCATTGAATAAATTTTTAACAAGACAAAATAGTACAAATATTAGGAAAGAAATAAAATATGGAAGAATGGTGAATAAGCACAAAAGAAAACAGAAAAAGAAACTATTATAAAAAAGCGGCTTCCAATCTTTTTGACAGCAGTTTTAAATGCATTCATATTTTACCCTCCTCCTCCTCTAAGTGACTTTTTTTTCCTTTCCATAAATTACCCTTTCTAAAGACCTGGTATCTTTAGATACCAAAGTGGAATATCTACCAGAATATATACCTCTTACTTCTTCTGTCTGCAGTCTTTCTTCTCACAGCTATAGATGCTCTGAAAATCAGAAAATAAACTTTATGGCTATTAGAAATTGCTGCCCTACAACTCCCAGATATCTAAGTTAGTGCGGACAATAGAATGAGATGCTGGGTGCTTTGGATCAGTAATAGCCAAAAAGCTATAGGTCCCCCAATCTTGACCTATGCAAACAGTCAGCTGACCTTGATTTATGTTGCAGGTTTTGTTGACTAAAGAAAAGGGTCAGGTATGCACTGCAGTTTGCAGAGAGACCAAATCTTCTTTGTTTCTTTGTCTCTAGATGATACACCAAAATCGGCAGGCTATTCTAAACCAGTTTGCAGGGAATCCTCAGGGTGGTATCGGCATAAGGGCAGGCATGCAGCAGCAGATGACACCTCAGGTAAATGCCGGGAGCCTCTTTATACAAGCTCATATATATATATATAACATTTATTATTGTATGGAAGAAAATGATACTGTTCTATTCTATCTATGCACTCTGTAAGGAAGCATTTCATTTTGCCTCTTGTGAATCTCCAGTGATTCAGCTATATTGAATGATCTAGAATTATAACGGGGGCGGGGGGGAACCTTCTACTTTCTACATCATCATTACATCATTTAAATCAGTGGTGATCATTTAAGGTTTTTGGTGCCAGGGACTGGTTTCGGGGAATACAATTTTTCCACAGACTGGAAGGGTGGGGAGCGTGCATGCACAGATTTGCTCAGATGTGCATGCAGTTTTGCTCACCTGCTGTTCACCTCCATGTGATCCAGTTCCTAACAAGTCATGGACCAGTGCCAGTCTGCAACCAGGGGTTGGGGACCCTTGATTTAAATTACTTCTATTGCTACCTAAGAGGCCCAGTACCTCATAAAGAAGTTTTACAGATTTTTTTCTGCCCTAGGCTTCCCAAGAGCATGAAGCAAAGTCCTTATCCTGACAAAAACCCCTTTTATTAATTTACTGTGAATTCTGCTCATTCACATCCAGCAAAGCCTTTCAAGGGAGGATTTACAATTCACAGTCCTTATCAGGCTTGGAGAGCTGCCAGCCAATATCTGCAAAACTTGGCAAGGAATCTCAGAGAGTCACAAACCAATTAAGCAAACTCTGATATTCTTTTTGAAATATAGTGACCAGAATAATACATGTTAGTCCAAATGTAGTTGTATTATTTATTTGTAAAAAAAAGGTGGTGGGGGGATTGTTACCATCATTCTAATTTCAGAGGAACTTCTGTATGGCTGTTCCTGAAAAGCACAATGCTAGCTCAGTATCCTGATTAGCAAAGTTTAAGACAAATGCCTGCAACTTGATAGTCCCTCCCGTGACCTGTCAAAAGCGCGATCGACGAAAGCGCGCATTTGACGTCATCACAGCGTGACGAAAAAAATTAAAAATTGAAATAAAAATAAAAGAAAAGCAAGCCGATTCACATAAAGGTAAGGGTTAGGTTTAGGGTTAGGGTTAGAGTGTTAGGGTTACGTTTAGCGTTACGTTAAAGGTTAGCGTTAGGTTTAGCGTTAGGTTAAGGGTTAGGTTTAGGGTTAGGGTTAGAGTGTTAGGGTTACGTTTAGCGTTACGTTAAAGGTTA